CATTTGGCAGCCGCACACGTCCTCGCACCGCCGCCTTGACCCCTGCAGCCGATCCTCCCAAGGAATTTAATTTCAAGCCGGCAAGTTAAGAAATAACCCGACAAATGTCATCGCTGTACACGCAAACAAAATGCGTGGACTTGCAAAGCTGCCTTTAAACGATTAATTGAATTAAAACCTCTAGTAAATTCAAATTGGAAACGCTTGACATTCTGAATAAATGATTGGCGCTCTTTTTCAAAGGATACTTCTGGCTAGAGCAAGATATTTTTTCAATGTTCAATTGAGCACTCATTGCAGAAACAACTGACTCACTGCGCCTAATTGAGAAATAATTTTTTTTGGGTGTAAGTTGAGCGGAACAAACCCGGAAAGGACTTGAAGTTGGCCAACACCTGAGGTGCACTTATGGCAGTCTCATTGGCATTGGAATCGGTTGTGGCAGCGGCATTAGCATTCCTTACAGCCAACCAGCCGGCAGATAACAAAAACATGCACAACAATTGCCCCGAGACGGGATGATGATGCCGATTCCAAATGACGACGCCAATCGGTGGGTGGCATGCGGTGTTCAAGTAGTGGCTACCAGGTGGCAAGATTGCACCCCAGCCACCGCCGACATATGGCAGCTTGTTTGCGTCGTCGTGGATGGATTCAGCGATTTTATGGCAGGCACTTGCTGCCCCCAAGTGCGGCTGTGTGTGCGGCTGTGTGTTTGGCTGTGTGTGCCGGCAAATAAACACATTTTCAAGCTCAATGCCATTCGGGCCAAAGGCGAAAGGCGGCAACAACAATGCAGGGCGTCGAGAACAAAGCCAAACAGAAACGGCAGCAGAAGCCGGCACAGAAATAGAAATGGAAAGAACTGGCCGATTGCAGGTAATCGGAGGTGGGTGCGCCAGTTAGTCCTGGGCCAGCACTGCGAGAAATCGGCAAACCCCTTCGATTCAAAAAATTTTTTTTTTTTTTAACGAAATTATTTAACTTGACTAGCGTACTATTAGCCTTCTTGGACAACTTAATCTAATCGGTATTTATTTTATACGATTCTTAATATCTAAGTTATTTACAAAGATTATATGATTTTCATTATTAATGTTAGTGTTAACATTATAATATTTACAAATTTAATTAGGTAGGATTTAAGTCAAGTCCCGGTCGGTCAGGTCTTGAGTATTCCAAACCTGTGCCAAAAGTTATCTTAACTCATGGTAGCTTGCATAATATTTGCAATTGTTAATTATTAGCTGCTAGATTTTCGCGCAGTGCAGGCGTTTCCGCACTTGCTCCTGTCTGCCAACGGGCATATAATGAAGTTTCGCAATCTCGCTGCAGTCGTGTGTGTGAGAGCCAGTTTTCCAGCGTAAGTGTGTGTGTGTGTGGGCGGGCGGAACCGCGTTTTCCACGTTAGGTGTGTGTGTGTCTGGGCGAGGAGCTCAAGTGTGATTACATGGGCCATGTTCGTTGGCATCGAGTGTTTGTGGCATAATATTATTGTTTTTGTGCTCGCGTGTGAAATCAAACTCGATGCAAGGCAATGCGCTGCATTGGCAAAAGGATTAAAAGGATACGGCTGGAGTAGGAGCAGCTACATGGGTAGCCGACCAAAAGGACAAGAGCAGCGCACGTGCATGACGTTCGAGAATTGTTCGACCTCCATCCTGGCACCCGCTTTCCCCACAACATTTTCCATTTTCCCAGTCGAGTTATCAGACGGCTTGTAAGTGTAAACAGATACATAAAACCTTGGGTTATTAACAGTGCTAGATCGACTATCGGAATTCACTGCAGGTATGGAGTTGATATAATCTTGCTATGTGGCAAGGAGGCAGGCTCTAGCTTTCAACGTGTTATTTCATAGGTAATTATAGTACACCTCTTTACTCAAATGTAGGAAGATAAGATGCAGATGTATCCTGCTGATGGTTCCATTACAAAGGGTATAGACCAGCTCTCCATCTTCCAGGCGCTCATCCCCGGGATAATTTAGATCCCACACTTCCTGAAGGGGCTGCCAACGAAACCGAAACCATAACGAGTCTCATCACCGTCGGTTGTCGGCAGCTTCCGTTGGAGCTTCCCAAAGGGCGGATCCGGGCACAAGGATGCGAGTATCCTTTGGCATGGGTTGCTGCTCCTGCAGACTCACTCGATGGCATCTGTTTTCAGCAGTTGCTGCCACAACACCCTGCCACAATAACAAAAACAGTAACAACCGAAGGAGCAACAAGGCCAACTTCAAGGAACCATACTACAGTTATTTGACTTTTAACTTTTATTGCTTTATGTAGTTTAGATAAACGTTTGCGGCATGCCATAAATATGCAGCATGTTGGGCCACAGCGAGGAAAACAAACAGCGCCGGCAATAAGCAGCAGAACTGGAAAATGCCAAAGGGATCCTGGTCGAAAAAAAGCCACTTCGGTCAGATAGCCAAATAACTGCTGAACTAGGAAATACCCTTTTCGGTAAGAACAAAATATACAGACAGTAATTCCCTTTAAGCTACAAGTTATTTAAGATAGAATTTGGTGTAGAACAGCTAAAAGTCATTCGGTATTTGTCTTTGAAGAAAGCTAAACTATATTGTATTTTACGATTGCGATTTCCTATCATAACACTGAGCCAGACGTCCGCCAACATCGTAACTCCCTTCGCAAAGTGTAGAAGCAACTCGACCGGGAAAAATAGTGGTAAGTGGGATGTTGCAACCGAACTCGACGCTTGTCTGCTGATGACCTTCGGTGATAGACAATCGGCAGACGGAGCAATGGACAAATGGGGCAGATGGGCGAACTATCTCTGATTTATGCTGTAAGTTACAGTCGGCATCTTGCAACAGGGAACTTGTGTACTTGCCACTTTTGCACTTGACTTTGTGGCCCGACATTGACTTGCGGCAATTTGTTGGGGATTCCCAAACTTCTGCATGTGGGGGCTCAAGTTTATAGTTACTTTCTTTTCGGTCGCAACTTGGAGCAGCGAAAGTTTTTAATTAATTTCACACGCCCGAACTTAACTCGCGCATCTAATTACACGTGAAAGGTGTAAATAGGTGGGTGGTTGGGCGCAAACTTCCGTGGTTGGGTGTAATGTGTCTGTGGGCAACCATCATTATCGCGCGTATCATAAAATGCTGAAAGCAAAAGGCAAACAACAGCAGCTGCAGCCACAAAGTATGCAACACGTTCTCATGCGATAAAAGTGGATTTGTGGTGGAAAGTGTGGGGTTTGGGGCTCCATCGTGGCCATGGCCAACAAAAAGCAGGCAAATATCACTTGTAACGTTAAATGCGGGCGTGGAATTACAGGGCTTTAATAACACAGCGTTTTGTTACAATTTAAATGATGAGCTATCAGTTGCGTAGTATGGAAACCAGCCTTCTTGATTTCCAATTCAATTTGGCATCCACTCAATATGCCTAACCATCTTTATCTAAGCCCTTGTGGCTGTCCCATCGAAGTATCTGGTCCATTTGCACTGTTCGGATGCGTCTGAAAATCCGCTTTAATGCCAACCGAATCGAATCGAAACGATTCGAAACAAACCCAACCACGTTCGCCTCAAATCGACAAAGGCTTTCCCACTCTTCGAGGCGAAGCCACCTCGACATGGAGTCAAACACCTGCGAAATTGAATGAGAAATATCCATTCGGTGTGCGTTGTGAGTGTTTTTTTGGTTGGCTGTGGCAGTGAGTTGTTGTGGCGCTTTCCAACTTACTCCCCAACTGGCTCGATTATTTGCGAACCTCGAACATAGTTGGCCAAAACCCATTTTGCTCACCGGAAGAATTTTAAGCAATACAAAAGGATTTTCAATGCATGAGCTGCAACTTATTTCCTTGTTTTTTGTTGCGTTTCGAAAGAATTCGTGTTTTTGTGGCACCTTTAAAATATGTAGAAGTTGCTTGATAAATCAGCTAATTCAGTATCATCATAACATTTTTTTGGTGCAAGCAAACCCTAAAGCCCCAATATCTGTTGTTGTTTTTTCTCAGCATCTTCGGCTGGAAAAAACCCAAAACTGCGTCTACTTCTCTGCGGCGAAATTTTAAATTAAAAGCAAACTTTGCTCATCAGTCTGAGGAGCGTGGAGTGCGGCACACGAGGTGTTGCTGCGATTTGGCATACATCTATTTTTGTGCTGCTTGTTTTTGGTTCTTACTCCATCATAAAGCATCAAATGTCAGCAGCAGTCGCATCGCAGTCAACAGCAACGCACAATTTCAAAGTTTGAATTGAGTTGCGTCTGGACGCCGCGTTCCTCTGGAGCTCCACATGTTTGTCTAGCAGTTCCATTTGCAATGGTTCCGGGACTCCGATCCCGGGGGATCCACATCAGCGGAATGAGACGAGGGAAACAACAATGAGCTGGAACCTTGGCGCCCTTCCATGATTCATTCAAGCGCTCGCTTATCCACCAACTCGAGCATGTGGATCACAATCATGCGAAGTACACAGAGTTTTTTTTTATTTTTTTTTTTTATTTAACGAAATTATTTAACTTGACTAGCGTACTATTATCCTTCTTGGACAACTTAATCTAATCGGTATTACAGTACACAGAGTGCACCAGGAAATCAAAGTGTTCATAGGCACAAAGCAATAAATAAAATGAACCGAGTGCTTGACGTGGTGAATTTGGTTGTTTCTATATTTTTCAATGAATTTAATATTTCAAACTGCCAAGATCAGTCGCAACAACAATGAACTCGGATAAGAACTCAAGTCGCAGCGAGTTATTAATAGCGTTTTATCTGAGTTTTGAGAGAGAGTACATTCTGCAGAGAAAACATTTTCACTTTTAAATCCAATCATTTCGAAATATATTAATATATCAGTATTTAGTTGAAAAACAAATGCTATGGCAACTATATAAATATTCATTCATTTAAGTATTTGTTTGATGCGATTTCTCTAAGTGTATTTGGAGAAAATAAATCGCCATTTGAGCGCAAATGGCAAAAATTTTTTGGTTCCCAGCTACTTAGTTATATTTCCCCGTTCGTTCATCGCGCGTCGCCCGCAACATGGATGGCTTCAAAGTATTCGAAGTTGTGTACCACTCGCCCATCAGTCCGCTCCTGCTGATTCCCCCCGTAGTTACTATCGCGCTTACCTTGGCTTGCTACTGTTATCACTGCCATCAGTGCATCCGCGATCGCCGAACAGCGCGCATCGAGGAGCAGCAAGCCAGAAAGCAGTTGCTGCCACTGCCCCTCAGCCGGCTGTCGATCACTCCGGGATGCAAGGAAGTCGCCTGCACGAAACTAACCCACACCCGGAATAGCGTTGACATATACTAAGTAGGCTACTAAGTGGTGATTAATTCGAATGAACTGAATGGAGTGTTTCATTCACACCCGCGGGCAGAAATCAGTAAACAAATGTAGATCCTAATTCAATTGCCTTTATGTTTTGGGCAGTGCTCCACGATGGCTGACATCCAAATTCACCTGTTCTACTTTATCTGCGGACCGGTCTTCATATGGATGGTATTCATGTACTTCTACTACTGCTATCTGAATGTCCGCGAGTGTCGTAGATCCCGGGGGCGCGAGGCCACGCCTTCCCTGCTTGACGATATCTGTGTGGAACCACTGGAAGTCTATTGACAAAGTTAAGTTAAGTCCATGTGAGTCACAGCACTGCGAGAAACATATCAAGAAACAGTGACAAGCGGCATTTCAATTTAACTTTTGGTTATCAAAATCTGCTTAGCAACTCTTGGTATGTTGTAGTATAAGGTGTATACATTATTTTTGTGATTAATATAATATAATATAATATAATATAATATATAATGTAGAATAATAATATCCCCTGTCATATTCGTAAAATAACCTTGTTGTTGTTGACTTGCTAATGATTTTCTCAAAAATATTTCAACATTGTATATTAGGTTATATTAAACGAGCTGATCTTAAAACTTTGTCAGTCGTCAGTTGCGTATATTAAGATGTCTTCTAGATTTGTAAATAAAATCCAGTAACTATACAAAAATTAATTAAATAAATAAATAGAATAAAATAATAATAAAATATTTGTGATTATCACTAACATCAACATTAATATTATTGATTATCGGTTTATTTACAATTAGTATTCTTGCCTTGGAGTAAGACAAAGAAAAGTAAACAAAAGATGCAATAAAACAGAATGAACGCTGGAACACTAGTCATTGGAACGATGTCGCCTTGTTTACATTCGATTATGAATGATTCATTTTGCATCCGAGCGCTTTTTCAGTTATTTGTCTCCACTCGGATCGCATCCATAAAAAGTGTTGCCTGTTATGCATCCCATGGCCCAGTAATAAAATGTTTGATGAGTTCACGGCAGGAACGAAGTGCCTTTAAGTACAACTTAAGGTGGAAACGTGATGTCTGTGTGTGTGTGTGTGTGTGGGTGTTTGTTGGGAGTATTTGGGGGCTGTTGGTTGCTTACGACGGGTCATAAATTTAGCCAAAAACTTGGCTATGCATCTTCGCTGACGTTTCCTTTCACGACCTGCAAAATTTAGAGCTGCACGGCGGTTTTGATGGTCCTCAGTGGCAGGACGAGATGCGCTAATAAATGACATTTTCATTCACAGCCCGGCAACGAAGTCGTCCCAGGTAATAAGGAAAATTAAATTAACCGAATTAAGTTGCGAAAGTCTAAACTGAATTTTAAAACAACGAAAGTTAAGGTACTTCAGTCAGCACTTAAAACTATTATGAAAGCAACGCTTTTGGGCTGATTTGCTTAATAAGTTTTTCGATTTTACAAACATATTAATATTATATATGAATTATACATTTTTTTTCACAAATTAGTCACATAGCTATTTTTAACCGTGTATAACATAATTATAATAAAAAATTTCTTACCTAGCAATTAAAGATAAGATAATTTTTTGATTGTCTGCAATAAAATCATAAAAGTCATTTGAAATTTGATAGCATTAGCTTTTTAACGTAGCTTATATATTCGTTTAAATGCCTCTTCGTTAAATTATCGAATTTAAATTTATTTGTGTTGAAGATACATTCTGTGCCTTTCTATTTTAGTTCCTTAATTTTTATTTTCCTTGGCAATTTGTTGAGTGTTCTTAACGTTTTAGAACAGTTTTCAGCAACTTATTTAGCGCTATTTGCCCCAAAACGCGAGATCCAAATGCAAATCCAATTGAATTAGTCAACTTTATTCGCTCATCATTTTGGGTAACTTTTAAGCAATAGATAGATGTCCGTATGTCCGCGCATATATATTCTTTATTATGGGACCCATGCAGCCAATGACTGCTTCTGCCCCTGCCGTCTCCCTTCCAGCCAAATTGAAACGCTAAAATAATTTACGGCTCAACTGACCAGCTTCGGCTGCTCCTTCGTATCCTGCAGCAGTGTCCTGCCATCTCCTTGATGGCTGGCACGTTAAATGCCATCGAAATGCTCCCAGTTGGAAAATTAGTTTAAAAATACGTTCGTTCGCCAGAGGATGTCTTGCATTCTGTGGCTGCTGCTTATCCCGATACCTCTCGTTGAAATCAATTGCACTTCTTCCATGATGGAAGGATACTAGCAATCATCAGACTAAGTGAAAAAATATTTGCAATATATCCAAACTATATAAAACATCTAAACTAAGAGCATAGAAAATGATTTTCCCTTTCCAAATAAGACAGTTAGAAGCAATTTTAATTGGCTAATAATCATCAGATCTGTCAAGTTCTTAGAAACTAATATCTGATACTAGATAATGGCCTTGTTTAATCATTGCTGAACAGGGGAAACTATTAAGGGGTATTTCAAAAGTCGTGAGCATAGTTTTCACCCCTAGCTTTCTTGTGCAGTAGCACGCGACTTGCGTTCATGGTGGCGTAAAAATTCACTTAGCTGGACTTCCCGCCCACCCCTTCATTTTGGCCAACTTACCCGGAGGAAAGACGACAAAAAATACGAGGACCAAGAAAATTTGGTGGACTTTTGCCCAATAAAATGCTCATGTTTTACAATTTTATTAGGTGACGCGGGCTCATCAAATATTTAAATAAAACGATACATTCGGCGCTCCTTTTTCATTGTTCGCCTCGCCTAAGTAATTGCGTTTTAGTGGACACAACACATGTTTTACATTGCGAAATATGTGGAGGGGGTCGTTAAATCATCTCCTGTTTATCTGGCGACCATAAATTAAGGCATTAGCCGTCGTCCTTCCCTCAAATTGCATCGAACTGTTTGCATTGCGACCGTGCCACTTGGCCGTGCAGCTGCTGCCGCCAAATGTGGGGTTTACACTGCGGCCCGGGTTAACCGCAATCGAAGTCGCATCCTTAAAGAGATAACGACCCCTCCAATCCGACCCCACCACCCCGATCACTAATTGCCCAGAAGAAGTGTGTGCATGTGCCCCAGAACTCAAGGTTCTGGTAACGATTCGCATCTAAAGCACCAAGTAGCGATGAGCTGAAAGGTTTACGAAATATGAAATACCTCTAAAATCACCTATAAAGAAATTTTAAGTATTAAGTGTATTTTTTATCTTTAAATGCAAGAAATGGTGGCACCAGCCATCCAAACACTTTATTCTCAGTGCACTTCTATTGGCATTGTTTGATTTAGTCGCCGAACGAACCACTTGCGCACTTGGAACTTTTGAGTTTTGGGGCCGCTCGACAAGGCGGTGGAGACACTCCTCGGGAAAATGTTTGGCTGGCCAAATGGCCAAAGAAACGCTTCTCGTCCTGGAAACCACCTCCCTCCGCCTCACCTTGCCGCACTTTGTTTGCTAATGAGCCAATTTAGTTGCATTGAACGCAATTGCGTCGTGTGTGTGTGTGTTTGTGCCTTTGAGTGTGTGTGCGTTTGGTCTGGCCGCCGATACTTGAAACTTGGCCAATACGTTCCGGCCAAATGCCGCCTTGAGGCTGAGGTACCTTGCTTTGAAATGGTAAGTAGTGTGCCACCAGCCGAAAGTGGGAGTTCTAGGAAACTACACTACCAATTTGTTATTTAACTATATTATTGATTTAAAATCGTTACCAAGTCTCAACAAAAATGCTGGTTTCGATTAAAACGGGTGATTTATGCTTTGAATAAAAAAGGAAATTGAACACACCGACTTTGTACAGTGAATGAGTGAAGGGCATATTGAACACATGTAATTATTACAGTGAATATCTCAAAGCTAGAACCTCTTGTGCATCACGGACATCAGATACTTGCGGCAAGCGTCCATCGAGTGGCGGTTCAAATAGCAAAGCTGGCTGAAGTACTTGCCGCACTGTCCACATTGATGCTGCCACTCGTGGTGGCCCATGGTTCGCTGATGGGAGCGCAGATTGGAGCTGAGATCAGGGAGTCATAATTATTAGCTTAAAGATGCCCTAGATTCATAGGGCACTGCTCACCGATCCGCAAAGGCCTTTCGGCAACTGCCATCAGGACACACGAAGGGTCTTTCTCCAGTGTGCGTCCTTATGTGGGCAGTCAGCATCCAGGAGTGATCGAACTTCTTGATGCAATCCCTGCACTCGAACTGCCCGGCCACCCGCTTGAAGCGCCTCCTCTCCGTCAGCTTTTTTGGCTGCAGTGGCAGTGGCACAATAGTTGGTGGCACACTCACATTGGCCAAAATGGGTCGCTTCCGCGTGAGCTTCGAGCGAGTTAGCGTGGACTCGGCCAGGACCGTAGTGATGCCAACCTTGATGCCGTTTCTGGTAGTGGGCATCGAAGCAAAACTTTCGCCTGGCATTTTCAGCTCCCAGATGGTATGGCTGACCAGAGAGCTCTCTTCAATGGGCAGCACGCTCATCAGTTGGATGCCCAGTCGCTCCTCCATTTCCCGCCTGACCACAATGGGTATATCGTCGCCCTGCCGCCAATCGCTGCTGGGCTCATTTCGACCATAACAATAGGTGAACTTAATGTTGTTTTTGTGCTCCGCTTTAGTGGCTGCCCTGAAATGGTGGTTGCTTTTCGGCCTGGGCATCGCTGGCAGGTTGGGAATGGCTTGGAAAAACGCTGCAAGCTCGGAATTCATTACCACCAGACTGCGGAAGCTGGCGAATGCCTTACCTTCATAACGTTCGTAGAATCGCTCCTGCTTGCCACTATGGCGATCGGACAAGAAGCTGCGAAAAATACTGGGCATTATTGCTAAATACACCTCACAACCGAGCTGCCGTCAAATGTTCCCAATTTTACAGGCTCTGAAAAGTCAGTCAGCTGCGAACCAACTTGCTGATTTCATTTGAGTTGCCTACTCGATTGGAAATTACATGCCAGCCGCCAGTAACTATGCACTCGAAAAAACTGCGCCACTCTAGATGCTTTAAAATAGCGCGAAAGATAGGCTTTCTACATTTTCTCAGCTGAATATTTCCAATTTATCCCTACAAAGAGGAACTTTATTTTAAGAAGTTGTCTTTGGAATAAAATGATTGATTGATTTAAATCCTTAAAAAGGACTTCACCGAAAGTGAAGTGAAGTAAGCAGGCGGCTTTAAGGAGCTGGCCACCAGTGAATGCCTTTGTTGGCAAATTCAAGACGAGGCACTTAAGCAATCTTCCTGTTAAAATTTTTGCACACGAATCCGGCAATGCTCTCGAAGAAAGAGAGGCAAGGCACGGCTTGAGAGAGATGGGGCGAAGGAAGCTGGGCAATAAACAAGGCACGAATGTGTTGAGCAATAAAATTAGTTGGCATTCGTGTGTGTGTGCGTGTGTGTGTGTGGGTTTGTTCAGGACATGCAAAGACGTTTTGCAATTTGCCTGTAATCCTGTTGTGCCAAGAGCACCCGAGGCCACCAGCCACCCGCCACCCGCCACCCACATCCTTGGACTGCTTTAAGGACTATTCCGCTGCAGCTCCTTCAGTAAGCACTTAAGTCCCAGCTCTATTGTGGGGAACTTTTCAATTGTTCGACAGTTCGCTGCGCTTATTTATTTGCATTTTTTATTTGTCCGTTTTGAGTGTGTTTTGTAATAAAAGCCGGAAGAGAAAACATTTATGGCATCACCCGTACTCCCCAATAGTCCCCACCAATTGCGATCTCGACAACGACTTGTACCAACAGCTTTATTGCATTTATTTGGCACTTTATTACCGCCAGCTCGTTGTTCGGCTGTTAAATGGCCGAAAAGGACCACAAAATATTGGGCCAGCAAATTACTTGGTCATTTCGAAGTGCATCAATCTCGACGACAGTGCGTTTCACAGCAAATGAGTGCGATTGCCAAAGTTTCACTTTAAAATCTAAAAAATAGAACGCACATATAATAATCAAAAGGGTTTAGGTTACATTTTACTTTAGCCATGCGGAACTCTTACTCATTTATTTTAGCCAGTTCTTGTGTTGCCATGAAACGCACTGCCCCAATCTGCAACGAGAAAAAGCAAGACAACAATCAAAGGAAAATTGTTTCCAGTTAAACATTAATTCGTTTCGACAACGGCAAATTTGCTGTTCATTTCTCTGTGTCCATAAATAGTTCATATCTGTGGACCAAACAAATGGCATTTTTCATAAACTTATATTTGCAGTGGCAAGTGTGTGTTGCGAGTGTGTCCTCGTGTTTTTCCCCAACGACAAAATCGCATAAATGCTTTCGACTGCCAAACAAAAGGCTGGCAGGAAGCAGGACTCCAGTGCCACTGCAGAGGAGCTGGTGCCCTCCCTCTGTTTATTTGTGTATGTCAGTCGGACTATTAAAAATCTATTTCAAGTACACAAGCATCGAAATTGCGTTTGTCTGCCCAGCTCTTGTGGCAGTTGCATGGCATTTTATTGCGTACTCTTTTGCGGCCACTAAAGCTAGTAATACCCATGCACTAGTGGCCGTAGTCCCGGCTGGGCGTGGATTTAAATTTGCACGTACTGCAAATGAGGTTTTCCCTCTCAAATGTTTTTTTGCCAGGTTTTTTTGCGCTTTAATCAGTTCAGAGAATTGCCAACAATGGGCCCAAATGAGCAGTTGGACTAACCTTATTACTGGATTAAGTTGCAAGGAACTACGGTTGCAGCTTAGCACGAGTGTGCAGCATCTGAGTAAATTTAGTGCTATTGTGTTTGAACTTTGGCAAGTATCTCCTTTCATATGAGCCAGGATTAAGATTCTCTGTTGCATTGCTACCATTATGTTGCAGTTACAAAGCGAACTTGCTTTCCATTTAATTATGCATTAAAAGCTGTGTTTATGTCACATGGAAAAGGAACACTGGTAAAGGCTTTTTAAATTTATTTCAAGTCCTTGTGAGACAATTCGGTCTCTGCCACATTTATTACCCTTGCAACTCTGTTGCGCCACGTCGAAGTCATCAGAACGAGAATGGCTCATTTTACTTTAAGCCAAGGCACGTAAGCTACTTTTATTGGCCTCCCAGAAGGCCGATGCCTTAGATTGCATTGCAAATTTTGTCATCAACATACAAATGAAGCCTCATGGCTGCCTGTCAATCTGCAGATGCCGGAAAAGCCGAAGCCGAAACCGAAACCGAAACCGATTTGGCCGCCTTTGTGTAAGGACATGGAGCACACTTCACTATTTTGGCCAATTTAAAATGTAATTATTTTTGTTTTGCCTTTCTGCTGGCACCTGGATAAGAATATGGATTTTCGTTGCCATTTGGCCAATTGCATTTTGCATTTGGTTAGAGTTTTTCCTTGAGCAAATCTGTCATAAATAAATACTGTGTTGAATTTACTAAAAATGTTTCTGTCATCATCTCATATGCAACAAATCCCAAGCAAATAAAAATTCATAATTTAATCAAATTCTCGTATTTCTAGCTGCGACAATCGCCCTCAGGCGTTTGGCAATTAAATTTGCATGCCGCAAAGTGTGTGTGTAGCCAAAAAAGTGTCAAATCCCGTTCTACTTGTCCACTTATTTACTAAAGAAAAACACAATTGTTTGCAGCATTTGCGGTCAGGCCATTGCCGCAGCCCCATCAACACCTTCTAACCCATCCTGATCATCCTGTTCATCCTGTTCATCCTGTCCATCCTTCCCGCTTTGCTCTATTCCCTAGGACACCTAAGGCCATAGCATAAACAAACTGCGACATAGGCAAATAGGACTCCATTTCCGTGAGTTTGGGGAAATTTGTTAATTTGTCCAAAAGTTTGCATAGCATTTGGCCAGTACGGTCTACGTGGCCAGCATAACAATGCAAAAAGAATGAAATGTGGGCAACGGGATTGCAGTTTATTCGGAAAGGTGGGGAAACTGTTGGCACTAACGGCTCCGAAATTGCCACTGATGAGCCTTAAAATTGGATCAGAGTTTGAACTTTTTATTTTGTTTCCAAATATATGTGTATTTCCCATACGAAAACTGTAAGTTTCTGGTGCTATTTTTATTTTTAACGGTGCCATATTTATTCGTATTTCTCATACGAAAACTGTAAGTTTCTGGTGCTTTTTTATTTTTAACAGTGCCATATTTATTCGTATTTCTCATACGAAAACTGTAAGTTTCTGGTGCTATTTTTATTTTTAACGGTGCCATATTTATTCGTATTTCTCATACGAAAACTGTAAGTTTCTGGTGCTATTTTTATTTTTAACGGTGCCATACGAAAACTGTAAGTTTCTGGTGCTATTTTTATTTTTAACGGTACCATATTTATTCGTATTTCTCATACGAAAACTGCAAGTTTATGGTGCTATTTTTATTTTTAGCGGTGCCATAGAAATATTAATATTCATTTTATTCTGCCGAAAAGTGAAAGTGTTACTATATAATGTTTATATGTTCTTTATATAATATTCAAGAAATCCGAGGGGAAACTTAAGCTCATTAAAACTACTTTTCTAAAAGTGAACTATTTAATTCTTATTCCCAAAGTATTTTCTTTGGTAATAATTAATATAACATCTAAATACTAACATGAATATGATATATGTATAACTAACTACCGAGTGACCACTGTAAATCGGCTGAAATTGATTAGAGGTGCCGGCGCACACAGAAGCTCCTGTTTATTCAGTTTATAAATTAAATTGGAGCTGCAAACAAGCAAATTTGGCAACACGTATCCCCGTTATGGGTCTATTACTTGGCCAGAAGTGTGGCCAAGCGTCGAGGCGGCAAATTTGTGCAGCGGCACTGTGCCCATAAATAAAATATGGCATCCGAGCAACGAAGCCACCGGACCACTGGATTCGCTATCTTTGTGGTTGGTCCATGAGAATGCAACGGCCGTCCAGAGTTCGTAGATTTTTGCTACCCACGGCCATTGTCACATGACAAATGCTTGTTGCTCCTGTTCCGCGTCCGAGTTCGAGTCCGAGTCCGAGTCCGATTCGGATTATATGCTCCTGCAATTGTTATTTTCGCTGCGATCCATTTGTATGCTGGCCATGTTTGTTGGCCACGGCGATAAGTCATAGCTGGCACGTACCAAATTTATTTGTTCAAGTTTGTTTGCTTAGCTCGTCGGCTGCAGCTGCGATCCTGTGGCCAAGGAAATGTGTGTGCCGAGTGCCTCGGGCAATTGCATTAATCGCTGGATAATTTACACAGCAATAATAATGTTTGCCAATGACAAATAAATATTTATTGAATTAACCAGAAAAACTGGCCCGCAAGGCCATTCTTATCAATGTTCTCGTAATTGCTAAAAATTTGAACTGGCGCGAAATGTAGATTAATTGTGATGTATATATATATGTATATATCCAAAACCTAGGTTATATGCATAGTAATGTGGAATATTATGTGGTGGGGAACTGAGTTCAGTAGAATCTAATGAAAAATGGAGCCTTGACCTTCATAATTCTTCCTAATTCACAATAGTAATATCTATAATTATATTACAAAATAATTCTTAATTATAAGGAAGAGCTGTAATCATTATATTTACAGAAGTGTCTTAAATTACTTCTCGCTTCAACCCCATTTACTGAATCTCCTGCGAGGTATCTCATTTTCAAGTCAGCTCGTTCAAAAAAATCGCAGTTGCCTTTGATGGTGTGCGCTTGTTTATTGCATTGCCCACAGTAAAGAAAACATGCGCCACATATGCAAATTTAATTTGCACAACCACACACAGAAAAAGAGCACGCACACACGTGCAAAGGCTAGGTCATAGTCGCAGTCGTAGCATACTTTTCAGCGCCGCAGGACATTAAAAAATGGACTCTGGCTGCCTTTCCCCGACTTCCGCCGTGCGTCGCCACATTTGTTTATATGAAAATAATCACACATGCAA